CCGGTTGTTGCAAATTGTGTGGCACCTTCCCCCACCACTCTCTCTCCCTTGCTACTGCTTTTGCCGTGTGATGTGCCTGCTCTCCCTTTGACTTCCACCATGATTATAAGCTTCCCGAGGCCTGGATAGAACCACAGCAGATGCCAGCACCATGCTTCCTGAAAAGATTACAGAACCATGAGCCAATTAAACCTCTTTTCTTTATAAATTACCCAGTCTCAGGTATTTCTTTACAGTAATGTGCTCTAATACAAAGAGATTAGCAAGAAAGTGATGAAAAGATATGAGAAGATTCAACACTTGTGTACTAGGAATCTCCCAGTGAGACAGAGGAGGGATGGAACTTTGGGTTCAGATCACCTCCACTAGAGCATTATTTCATGCAGTCACACTAGTCATCAGAACTTGCACCACGGTAAGGTGATGGCAACATCACCCTACTCATGCCATCCCCACTGACCACAAGAGTTTGGAAGCTGTAAGTTACCTAGAGAAACCAAGATGAGGGACATTCCATCATACATCTTACTCCAGGAAGTTGGCCCCCAATACCCACATGCACAGAGGGCTAAAAAAATGACTGTGGTGGCAGGCGCCTGTAGCCCCAGCTATTTGGGAGGAGAGGAGGAGAAATGGTGTGAACCCGGGAGGCAGAGCTGGCAATGAGGATCGCACCACTGAGCTCCAGTCTGGGAGACAGAGCTAGACTCTGTCTCAAAGAAAGAAAAAAAAAAAAATCACACCCAGCAGGGGAGATGTAACATGTTAATGAGATATGGGACACATGAAGAAGCATGTTATTAAACTGTGCAAGTGCTGTAAATTCCCCATCTCTACACGCTTCAATGTCACTTCTTTCATGGCTAGGCCTGTTAAAATTACTCTCTTGGCTATCTTCAAGGAGGCAGCAAGAGGACTTTCTCTCTTCTGGGCTGCTTTCCTTGTGCTCCAGCATAAGTTCCAATAATGCCTGGAGTCTGGGAAAGTTCCTTAGCCTTATGTCAGTTTCTATTACACGAGAGCAGAAGAACCTGTGGCCAGTAACACCAGAATAGATGTCAAATTAATAAAAAATAATAAAAGCTAGAATTAAAAAAAAAATCCTTAAGTGAGACTTGACCAGTTATTTTATTTATATATATATATATATATATATATATAGACCCAGAATTGCCAACATGTAGAAATATTTTGATAAAAATACTGAACTTTAAAGAAAAAATAAAGGCAATTATTTGGAAATTCAGAAATAAGACCAGTTTGTCATTACACATTTTTTTTACAGTAATGCTTCAAAGAATAAGAAAATGGAATGAAAAAAATTGATTTAAAAAAGAAAATGAGTCAAGTTATCCAGTCAAATTGGTCTTCAATGTTAAAGCCCTAAGATAAGCTTCTTTTCTTAATGCACCAAAACATAGGAAATAGTGTCCCTATAATGCTACATTGAGGACTTTACTTGAGAATGGCCTACTGATAACGAAATGACCGAATGTGTTATTGATATTATGAGGGATAAAACAATATGACTTTCAATTAGATGTGTGGGAAAATATAAGGGATGAAGCAGAAGCATTGCTCACAACAGGAACGATATGAACCGGGCAAAATATATATATATATATAGTGTATCATATAATGTAAAAGTAAGTATTAGAACAACTGTGGGCAAATTACAGCCCTTTGGTCAAATCCAGCCCACAGACAGCCTGTTTTAGTAAAACGCGTTTTGTGGGAGCATAGCCAAACCCTTTTATTTGCATATTATCTCTTCTTGCTTTTAAGCTACAGCGGAGTAGAGTAGTTCTGACAGAGACCATATGACCCAGAAAACCAAAGATATTTGTCATCTCAGTATTCTCATTTTCAGTGTAATAGTGAATCAACTCATTATTTTGAAAATCAATAATAAAAGGAAAGAATCAAAGTTTTTTTTTCCTTGTTTTTCCTATAGTTGCTGCACCTCAGAGTAACTGACTATTTGCTATGGAGATGTTTTTCTTTATAGAAATATTTTGGCTAATGAATATAGAAGTAATAAAAAGAAAAAATAATGGATTTAGAACATTACTATTGGCGGTTGCTACCATCTGTATCACAAAAAGAGAATCAAAGAGATTTAATGTTTAAGGAATGAGTGAATATCACCTATGATTTATTTGTTTAAAAACAAAACCAAAAATAACCCGAATATGATCAAGCCTCCAGATCTAACTACTTATTTCCTGGAAATAAAGGAAGCAGAAAGAACATGAAATGACCACTTGGAGAGATAGTCATCAATCCAGGCTTCAGAAATGTGGTCTCTTGCATAAATAAATATCAAGGTGAATAAAAGAGGTGGTAGTGGTGAAGCCTACAGATTAAAAGAGACTTAACAGACCTATCAACCAATGGCAATGTATAGACCTTATTTGAATTCTGATGTAAATACATGTTTAATATGAACTGGATATTTTTAATATGAACTATGTTTAATACCAACTGGATATATGTTGATATCAAATAATTTGTTACTTTTGGCAAGAGTAATCATGATATTTTAATTAAGGTTTAAGAGTCCTTAAGATACGCATATCAAAATATTTACAGATTGAATGTTCTGACTCTGACCTGCTTCAGAATGATGCAATAGTGGGTAGTTGAGAGCAAAGATGAAAGACTGTTTCCCAGGGCATGATTAAGTTGAGTTAGGCAGTTGATACATAGAGGTTCACTGTAATATTCTCTGTAATTTTTGTATGTTTGAAATGTTCCAACCTTTCAATAAAAGGTTAAAATATGTAAATATTCCTAAATGAGCTCTAAAATTTTATATTTTAATTAGTTTGCATTTAAATATTAAATCTAATCACATCATGGTTGCACAATCTACTTTGAAAATAATTTCATTAACAAATTTTTGCTAAAGAAGTCACAATAAAATACTTCCTTAATGAATTAAACTTCCTATTTTTATTATCTTTATTCAAATGATATGTGGCAGGGCAACGAATTCTGCAGCAGAGATGAACATTTAGCTAACTAATTAATTAACCTCAATTTACATAATGGTCTTATTTGCATAGCTAATGGCCTGGGGATTGACTATAGGCCATTAACAGTTATTAATTAATAAGATCAAATTAGAAATATATGGGTTTTTATTTCAAACTTAGGAGGCAAAGGTCAGTCATAAAAGGTTAATAACAATATTCAAAGAATCAGGCAGTAAATACTTTAGCTTTTAGACTTCATGCATTTCTGACAGGATAATTCATGAATTGGTTTCACCTCTACACTCATACTGGGGCACATGGAAGTATATACATGTGCATTAGATAAACTTTTATTAGCCTCAGATTTACATGTAAATTAAAGTAATGGGAGTTAGTTGTATTATATTCACATATAAGAACTTAATGCACCTCTATTCAGAAAAACCACAGGTATTACTTGAGAAATGTCAAGTTCTACAACCTAAATTTTTTCTTTCTTAAATTGTTCATTTGTTTTGAGTAAAGATTGCAGGTATAGTTTTCAATTAATCTTTCCCATTTATTTGCATTTGTAATAAAATAGGTTACATTATATAATTTAGAGCTACTCCAACCTTTTCACTCCTCATTTATCCAATTCAGTTTACAATTAGAAGCATCCTCTACATTTTTAAAAACATAATTGCCTGTAATTCAAAGAATTTAGAAACTCAAAGAACTTATCTTCTATTTTTAAACAATTTAATTATGTGAGTGATGCATAATTATTGAGGACAATTTAATTTCTTTTATTTCAAAGACACCTGTATAATCTGATTTTTCAAATGATTTGGTTGTACCTCTACAAGCAACTGAGCAGCTGTCTACACTAAATCAGTAAATGAGGTTTGCGATAAATGAAAAGGAGTGACTTCTTTTTATGATCAATTGCCAAATTGACACAGAAAAATTCTATCCTGCATCTTCTGCCTGTTGCTCCTGTCTTGCTTTCTTTCCTCTCACACTGCCTGGGTTCTCGCTTTATGCCTCTCCCCTCTTCTTTTTTCCTCTTCCCCCTTATAAGAATGCTTGCTTGATGAAATGCCTTGAAATGATGTCCAGGGATAGTCCCCGGGTGAATGTTCCAGATTCTGTTTCTCACTTCATACTCTGTCTGGGCCTCTATTCTATTAATAGTTAAATTAAACCTGATTATCTTGAGTCTTCTAGATTTTAAAAGGGTTGCTTTGATTACAAAAGGATGACTGCTTAAATGCAAAAGAGTATTACCTCAACAGATGGGAAAAGAATAGCATTTATCGCATTATTGATAACATCTTTGAATCTGTGTCAGTTCCTTTCACAAATTGGCTTTTACATGCTTCTCTGTGTGGGTAAACTGTATGCCACAGAAATGTTCAAGTTTAGAGTCACAGAATATGGTCTTAAATCTGTGATGCTTTGTTCACTGTCATTTAAAAAAATTAATCTTTTTAATTATTAATAAAATCTTGCCTTTGTAAAAGGATAGTAATTCTCATTTCATAGATTAAAAATGTAGGTTAAAAAGTGTAAATTAAAAATAAAAAATGATGCTATATATGAATTACAGTAAAGGTTAATCACTAATTTTAAGATGAATTTTTCTTTTCTCTAAGAAAATATGTAAATACAAGAAGCCATACAATTCAGGCAATTTCTAGTAGTCATTCATTAAAAATATCCATTTCCCAAGGTTTATCCAGAGCTTTCACAGTGGGACTAACTTTTATTATTTAACATACACAGACAATGGTGGCATTTTAACAATATTAGATACATAATTTGAAAACAGTGTTTTATTTTCTTGACATTTCAGGAGTGTGAAATCACTCACTGCATTGTCATATATTAGCTGTTTAAACAAATAGGCAATCATCTCAGAGTATTAACTATCTTTCTATGTTGTCCACTGAGAATGATATTTTAGACATATGTATCTCATTAAAAAATTAGCAGAGACACCATACAATTCTCATAAAAGCTTTAAGTAGCATAACTTACTTTTTGAAGGAACTCGGAGATTGGCAAGGACCACTTCCAGGGAATCAGCTTGGACTCGAAGAACGTAGCTTGTCCTGGTCTCATAATCCAGAGGTCCATTCACATAGATAACACCTGTGATGTTATTAATTCCAAATATATCTAGAAATTAAAACACAATTACCTGGTCATTGTTTTTAGGCTATAAGGAAAGAAATTCTCTTTAAAAAGCGCTGTGATATCAAAAACACCAAAAATACCTATTTATAACTACAGTGATTCATGAAAGTGACAAAATGCTGGCTTCTGGAAACTGCTCCAGCTCTTTAAATGATCACTATCAATATTTTGCTAAAATCAGCCTTGAAATCGTAGGGGTTTTTTGTTTGTTTGTTTTTGTTGTTTTGAGATAATCCTGGAAATCAGTGTTCTATGGTTAATTAGATTTGGGAAACACTGAATAATATATTCTTCACCTTAGATTCAGATGGTGTTCTACCACACTAAAGGCTTTCAGAAGTTCCGTTTTAAAGAAAACCATCTAATTTTGTTTAACCAAAATTTTCTGACCTTACTGGTTTATTATACTGTTTGTAATTTATGAATATTATCATTTTGTAGATTTAGTGTTTTGTTAAGAACACTTGAGAGGAAAAAAAAACCAGATAATTTAATGTTGCCCTATGTCTTTTAAAATTAATTTGAATGAAAATCAGAGCACACTGGCAAATTTTATAATACATCTCCTTCTCTTAAGCTCTCCATATTCTCTCCTTACTTTATTTTTTCATAGAATTAATAATCACTTATAATACTATATATTTGTTTAATGATTTTTACATTTTTATTATTAACCCCCCCTTATTGGATCATTAACTTCCATGAGGGCAGGAATCTATTTTGTACATTGTTCTATCTGTAGTGGCTAGAAGAGTAGTTAATACATAATAGATGTTCAATACATATTTGTTGAATGAATTAATAAATAAATGAATGTAAAATAGTCACTGTGGGGGAGAGAGGTTAATAAATACAGCCACTCCGCTGTCTTCAAATGAAAGAATAAATAGAACCATAAAGAGAAAGTTTGGGAACAGAACAGGCTGAGAAATTATAGCTTTAGTCAGACATTCAAAGTTCAAGGAAAAAGGAAGTTTAGTTATTTTTAGGGAGGACCCATAGTAGCACAGTAATAATGAAGAAAGAAAGGCAATAAAAGTAAGATATTGATCACTTGCTACACTGCACAAGCAGCAATACCTAGTAATAGTTTGTCATTAAAAAGCTAAAAAAGGCCTTTATAATTTCCTTGCAAACTGCTTTGAAGCATTTACATTCAGTCATTTCTTAAATATTTATTATTGATTAATGTATTACATATATATTAACTATTTCTTGACTACCTACAATACGCTAGGCTATCTAACATACTAAAATGGAAAACAGAGGAGAACTTGTGAAGAATAGGTAAAACAAAGATTAATGTGAAAGACTGAGCTATGAACTTATTGCCAGAGGCCTGCAAATTCCTATGATTCTTAAAGTGATTAATATACAAACATTATATCTTTGCTTATAATAATTAATTATATGTCTAATTTGACTATTTGGGAAATCATATAACATGCATGGCTTTTAACATGGATGTGACTCTTTTTAAAATTCACACTTATTTACAATTTTGAAATTCCTTCAGGATTAGTTAAGGTATGACCAACGTGGAGTAAGGGTCATGGATGGTTCAGACAGTGGAGTGGACGAAGCTACTGTAGGCAATGATCATGGCCAAAAGCTGAAAATTTCATGATGTATTAATTTTGAGGAAATGTCATTAAAATATTACCAAATGACGAAAAGGGCAAGGTTTTATTAATTAGATACTTAATATTTCTTAAGGGAAAAAAATCACTTGAGCTAACATAACTGGATTTTTAATTAAGTTCAGGATACATGGTTACCAATTACATCTAAGATGGGCACAATTTTATTAGAAAACAATAGGATAGATAGTAATATCAATTCAATCTGAAATTAGTCGAAATCTAAGTTTACTGGTTGATGGTGAGAACACAAACTAAAAGTCTACTCACCTTCTTCATTTCCTGAAACAATGGAGTACACAATACTTTGATTAATGGCAGCAGCAGAAATTACACCAACCATGGTTCCTTTGGTGGCAAGTTCACTTACTGGAGGAGGTCTGCAGGTTTAGAGAAGATGATGTATTTATGTTTAAGTATAATTTTGATGTAACTTTAGGTTCACAGAAAAATTGAGAGAAAGATAAGAGATTTCTGATATACCCTTTGCCCTCACACATTCATGGCCTCCTCCATGATCAAATCCCCCACCCGACTGCTACATTTGTGATAACTGATGAACAACGTACGTTGTCCCCATTATCACTGAAAGTCTATTGTTTCCATGAGGGTGCATGTTGCTGTTGTACATTTTATGAGTTTGGACAAATGTGTAATGACATGTATCCACCTTCATGTAGTATCATATAGGGTATTCTTACTGTCCTGAAAATCCTCTGTGTCCTTATATTCATCCCTCCCCTCAACTCAACCTCTGGCAACCACTGATCTTTGTAGTGTCTCTATGGTTTTGTCTTTTCCAGAATGTTGTATAGCTAGAATCACACAGTATGTAGCCTTTTCAGATTGCCTTCTTTCACTTAGTAATATGCATTCAATGTACCTCGACATCTATGGCTTGATTGCTTATTTCATTTTTAGCACTACATAATATTTCATAGTCTGAATGTACCCACCATTTATTTCCATAAATAAAAAACATCTTGGTTGCTTCCAAGTTTTGGCAATTATGACTAAAGCTGCTATAAACATCTGTGTGTAGGTTTTTGTGACTCTAAGTTTTCAACTCTTCTGGGTAAATACTAAGGAGCATGATTACTGGAGTGTATAGTAAGACCGTTTAGTCTTTTAAGAAACTGCCACACTCTCTTCCAAACTGACTGTACCATTTTGTATTCTCACTGACAATGAATGAGAGTTCCTGTTGCTCCACATTCCAGCCAGCTTTTGGTGTTAAATAGTCTGGATTTCAGACATTCTAATAGGTGTGTGGTGGTATTTATTTATTTATTTATTTTTATTATCCATTTTTATGACAGAGTTTTGAACTTAATAGAATGGACACAGTGGTTCTTCTAAGCTACATTATGCAATTACATTGTGCTTTCATTGAAAGCTTTTACAAAAAATCCTGAAATACAAATTTAGTCTGAAGTATAAATTGCATACAAGGTTTTACAAACATCTTGTCCAAATTGCTTTGTTTTTGCTATTGCCATCCACACACTTAATTGACTAGGTTATCTCAATGCAAAGCAATCTTCCTCACAGATACTCTAGCACCTAATGGTGGTCCATATAGTCACTGCATGAGCAATAACTGCTTCTTGCTGAAGAATAAGAACCAATCTGTATAATTTTTAAATGGAATGTATAGATATTTAATTTATTAGTTTATTTATTTGCTTACTTATTTTACTGTCCTGCATGTTTTGTTTTGTTATTGTTTTTGTTTTTTTTTTTGTCTTCTTTTGATAACATCCAAGTATTGTTTTTGATAATCTTGCCTCTTTCCTTCTCAGTACAAGTGCTTTGGGTAAGGCTTTGCCAATCCCCATAGCACATGCATAAACACATTAACCAACTCTGGTCAATGGGGGCACTTTATCCTTTGCTCAGTGTTCATGTGATGTATATGTCTCATGTAAATTCAATGGACATACTACATAAGATTACGACTTGACTAGATTCTTGCTAGCCAACTTTTTGGCCATATCCCTCACTGGATTTGATGATGTAAGCTGCCACATGAAGCAGTCCTCATGGCAAGAAACTCAAGGTGATGGCTGACTAACAGCCAGCAACGAACTGAGGCCCTTAGTACAACATGCCACAAGGAACTGATTTCTGCCAACAACTACATGAACTGGGAAGTGGATCTTTCCATAGTTGAGCCTCAGATGAGACCCTAGCCCTATTTGACACCTTGATTGAAAGATTATGCAAGTCCTTTTAAAAAGAGAGGACACAGCTAACCCATGCCTGGATTCCTAACCTACAGGAAATTCAAAGCAATGTATGTGTTGTTTTAACCCATTAAGTTTGTGGTAATATTATTATGCCACAATGCAAAACTAATATTTGAACAATGGATTGTTAATTTATGATAGATTAAGATACATATTTCTTATCAAAAGTTTAATACAAGAAAATATGTCAGTCATATTAGGGGATAATTTTCAAAAACTGAATTCCTATTTGTGGAAGTAGTCATTACTTAAATTGTTTACTTGTCTTTCTTGTGTTACTACACAAGATAGAAGCTCAATTTTATACTTTCCATAATTCATCTCTTTGCTAATCCTTATACAGTATGGGAATATGACTTCTGCAACTTATGCACCTTTAGCTTTAACATGAGAAAAATGCTATGTCGGGCCGGATGCAGTGGCTCACACCTGTAATTCTAGCACTTTGGGAAGCTGAGCTGGATGAATCCCCTGCGGTCAGGAGTTTGCGACCAGCCTGACCAATATGGTAGAACCCAATCTCTACTAAAAATACAAAAATTAGCTGGTTGTGGTGGTGTGCTCCTGTAGTCCCAGCTACTTGGGAGGCTGAGACATGAGAATTGCTTGAACCCAGGAGGTGGGGCTGCAATGAGCTGAAAACCCCACCACTGCACTACATCCTGGGTGACAGAGTAAGATTAAGTCTCAATAAATAAATAAATAAATAACAGAAAATAAAAATGCTATGTCTTCTTTCAAATATTAAAAAATACATGTGTGCATTTTTGCTAACCTTAACTGACAATTAGGATAGAAATAATACTAAGAAAAAGTAATTGGCATAATTTAAGAAGACATTTAAATCCTATGCATACTACTAAAAGCATTTAAAATTCTATTTGTTAGTAAATGTTTAAAAGAGATTTACTCCAAGACAAAATTTCTCCTCATTAACTTTTGTCTTATTTGTTCCAGTACATTTGTTTCTGTCAGAATTAAAACATACTATACAATCTTCTCCAGAAAAGAATTAAATGAACCTCCATGATAATGAGTAATAGATTACAAAATATCAACTATTTTCTATTCTTTGGCAGGATTAAAATGTACAATATTAATAAAAAATAATATTTTTATTATTGTTCTACGTTGTGGAAAGTACCAGTTACACGATGTGGGAAAACTGCATACTCTCTTTGGAGTCACATACGTCTTGAATACAAAATGATGGAGTTGGTATAAATCAGGATTCATTAAGACAGATGGACAGAGAAGGTAGGAACATAACCAAATTGAATAAAATGGGCTGAATATAAATTAATAGGGAGAGGAAAGGAAGTTAGGAATGGGACAGTATGTAGCTACTGTACAATAATTCAAATCTAGTGTGATTTGTCAATCAATAAAGGAAATTTAAAATTTTGTATACATTTGTGAACAACCAGTGGGGATTTATTTTTTTAAAGCATCTAATGACTACATTTGATCTATGGGCTGACACTTTATGATTTTTAAAGCGGATAAACTATCTCTAATGTCTTCTCTAGTTCTACCATTCTGAATCTGATATAATTTGAGCTATCATTCATTCTTCTTTCTGTTGAGTATAATCAAAATCCATTGCTCAATTTCAGAATCAATGAATTATGGCCAAATGAAACATTTCTCAGAAGGTTTTTTTAAAAAAATATTTTCTCTGACTACTAAATTCATAAATCTTCAATTCATCCATTTATGAAGAAAAATGCATCACTAGCTCTCTTCCAATTTAAGGTTTTCACACCAGATTTATAACAAATAATTCTTAGTGTCTGAAATGGAAGAATATCACCTTTCAAAGCTAAATTTACTGCCAATACAACTGACAAACTGCACTCTTAAAATAAAAGAAACACTTGAAACAGACAGCTTCAGTAATGGAACTGTACAGCTCACTGATGTAGCTGGAGATAGATACCAACTAGATGGTCATTTTCCAAAGATTGCTAAGAGGATGCTAAAGGAAATGGTTATTTAGCAGATATGAACCTGGAACATGGGAGAGGCTAGTGGTTTCATGTTTTCATAATGGCCTTCAGGAAGGGCTTCCTCAAAGGCCCTTTCACAAGGCTTGAACTGAATTGGGTTTGATGTCCTTGCATATCCATGACGGCAGTGTTGGTTCCTATTTACTCCACAAAGGCAATGCTTCTAACTTTATTGGCCATTTTAAACAAAAGCTACAGGTTTTGACTAAAATTCCAAAATCACCTCAACTAATACTTAAAGAGAATCCTAAATAATATTTTGATTTTAAAAACAGACTTATGAGAGTAATTTTAAATTTTTTCCTCATTAATGTTACTATTGCATTATCCTTACCTTCTAAATTTTATATGTAAAACAGCTGTGTATTTTAAAAATTAATAATTTTTTGTTTCTAATAATAATGTTATTGAGAAATAAATTAAGATAAAAATAATGTCACTATGCCTATGCATTCAGTATTTATACTTCCTCCCAGAAAAGTTCAATGGTCTCAGAATTTTTTGTATTCTTATTTTTTAATCGTCAAATAGAAATTTTATACACTTATGGTGCATGACATGATGTTTTGAAATATGTATACACTGTAGAATGGCTAAATTAAACTACCATCCTTCCATTTTATTACCTTACATGTTTATTAGTGGTGAGAACATTTAAAATCTATTCCCTTAGCAATGTATAATATTGTACATTGTTTTTAACTATGGTCACCATGTTGTTAAACAAATCTCTTCAATTTATTCTTCTGGTCTAACAGAAATTTTGTATCCTTTGACCAATATCTCCCCAATTCTTCCCTTCCTACCCAGCCCCAGGTAACCACTTTTTTATGCTCTACTTTCATGAGTTCAACTTTTTTAGATTCCATATATATTAGCTTTATTAGATCATTATTAGAACATGCAGTTTTTTTCTCTGTGCCTGATGCATTTTAGTTAACATAATGTCCTCCAGATTTGAGACAAATGAACGTATTTGAGACAAAATAGAATACTAATTAAAGTCTAGGTTCATTCACGTTGTCCCAAATAAAAGAATTCCCTTCATTTTCTAAGGCTGAATAGTATTTCATTGTATGTGTATACATATATATATCTCACATTTTATTTATCCATTCATTT